AATCATACTTTATCTTATTTCAAACTCCAATTATTTATATGGATATATAGTTATTTGTATATGAATAATTGGATGTATACTCATATTCATTAGATTGAATCATCTTAATGCATTTATCCCTTCAATTGAGTCAAGTAATATTGTAAGTATCTAGAAATAATTATATTTGTTTTTTAAATTTAGAATTGCATATCTTACATATTCGATAAGCTGTCTCCTCAAATCCTCCACCTTGTACTCTTCTTAATTTTTATATTACCTTATAACATTCCTTCTGCATACACTCACACCCTACGAATTTCTTATTGCACGGTGCCGAACTTCTCTCATTTACTCTACCCTGCTTTGGGAAAAATTATTCCGTCAGGTTATCTGACATAGAGCTACATCAGGTAGCCTATAATATGTCGCCACGTGCACTTACTTTTTACCGCGTGGCCCGACGACCTGATCCGGAACGGATCCGGGAGTTTGCGTAGCGCGGTATTGCTAGGTATTGGTCGATTTTGCTCGACAAAAACGAAAAATACTATTATGTGAAGACCAATACCGAGCAATACCGAGTTCAGTACCGAGCAATACCGAGTTCTTTTAGGTATTACTCGGTATTGCTCTTCACATAGCGGTATTTCTCGTTATTGCCAAGCAATACCGAGTAATACCTAGCAATACCTAGCAAATACCGAGCAATACGCGAACATAATAATCCCGGATTCGGTCCGAGTCGGATCGTCGGGCCGCACAATAAAGAGTAAGTGCACGAGGCGATATATTATAAGTTACCTGATGTAGGCCTACGTCAGAGAATAATTTTTTCTGGCTTGGACGTTAACCCATTCCCTTATTTCCTGCATACCGAATTCTCAGACCTCTTATTCCAATCCTCACGTGAAAACCCATTGGAAGAGTGGCCCCACACTATATAATTGTCCTCACCCTTCTCATCCATTGCAAGCAAACTGCTCAGATAATAGAAGAATATGAAATATTTAATTGTATTTAACCTATTACTTAATATAAATGTTAATTCTTATTTAACAATAATTAACTATTACTTTTAATTTATCATTTAAATTATAAAAGTAATATAACTTTTTAGACTTTTCCATATAAAAAAAAATTCTATAATTTTGCCTCAAATTTTTGGATATTACATTAACTGTCCTAAGCATTGTAAGAGAAAATATTTATAGAATTGTAAGATATTAAACACCTAATAACTACATAATAAGCACTAATTATTTATAAGCTATAAAGACATAATAATCCATTAACTCAAATTTAAATACCATCACAATCATTATCTTAATAGATTGATGAAAAAAATGTGAGATTTGTGTTACGTTTCAGATAGATTTTCTGTTGTTTTGTTTTTTGGATTGTAACCACAGCTTATATTTTATCATTATTTTCTCACAGCTTTCAAAAAATTTGTGTTAGAAAGTTGCTTTCTATAGTTTTTTTTTTTTTAAATTATTTGTCTTTATAATAATTTTACAACCAACTTTACAAAAATTTGCAGCCGCCCCAAGCCTTAAGAGTGAAATTCGACTTGCAATTAGGGTCAGAATGAGTCAGTAATGCCTTTCTTCGTAGGCGATTCGCAGTATAATATCAGGTTTTTTTATGGTTGAGATAAGGTTGAGGGTATGCTGCTCCTTAGGTTCTCTTAAAAAATAGAAATTTATTCCAATTCGGATCTTCTCGTTATTCAAATACAACATGGATTGAAGTTGACAAGTAGGAGAAATTGTTCTATGCAGAGTCCGGATAGAAAAAATCGTCCGGACTGTAAGAATACGCACTGTATGTAGACAGTGTGTACACTGATTTGATACATAGTATGTGCAAATATGTACATAATACGTACACTCACATGTCCGAATGGTTCTTCCTTTCCAGACTTCGCACAAAATAATCTTTCGACAAAAATTACTCTACTCCAATCAAGATCAAATTGATGCAAATTCTGAACAGACTTGCATTAGTTCGAGATAAGCTCGAATGGTTTTGAGTTGAGATCGAATATGCTGGAGATCGGAAATTTTATAGCCCAATATGGATCAACTTGATCAAAAAAAGCCGAGCAAGTGCCAAAAATGAATGGGCCGATTGCTAACTGTACAAGAATAAGCCAAAATCGCCTCAACGATCACATCCCTAACCATCGAATCTCTTCAAGAATAACTCTTTAAGAGCAACATCTGATAAAGAATTAAGCACTATTTGGTAAACTTATGGTTATGCTATAATTTTGTTGTGCCATATGAATTGTATTAAGGTTTCGTTTAAGATCATTTTTTTTATTATTTATAAAATAATTTTTTTTAATTAAAAAAAAAAATTGTATTAAATATTTTTTAGAAAATAATGAAAAAAAAATTATCCCAAATTGAAGCCTAAATTATCATGTTCTCATATTGATTATAATCAAAACTCATATATTAAGGATGAAAAAACCTTTAGATGCCAATAATCATAAATTTTTACAGTTATTGGATGAAGCTCCGACATAATGTATTTGAAATTCATTCATATCCTATAAATTTGTAATACATTCTAAAACTTCATTGTTTGATTTTGATGAAAAAGATATGCAATGTAAATGTTTAAAGTATTTGCTCAAAATTTAGTTCATTATCAAAGTATTTGACATTTGCCTAATTTTGATTGAATTCCAATTAAACTCGACAAGAGTGAAGCTTTACTTATTGTCGCTACCCTATTCGTCCCCCAGTCCACCGCCAGCCACCTATTACCTCATTGTAGATGCCAATAATCATTGACACCACCTGCCCATTGCTGCAATCAGTAATGACCACCACCACCAATTGCCCACAATCATTATTGTCGATCGTCTGCCACTGATCGTTGCCACCATTAGTTGCCCCTTGCTAACTGCATGCATAGCTGGTCACCACCTCTATTATCTTTGTTGTTGTTAACTGTCGCGGGCATTGCTGGTCACCACCTCCATTGTCTTATCATCGTTAACCGCCTCGGAAACTAATCGCTTTCACTAGAGATGTAAACGAGTTGAGTTGAGTTGAGTCGAGTATATGCCTAATTGAGCTACGCTTGTTTAATTCTCAGTGAGCTCGAGCTTGACTCTTTAAAAAAATTATAAGCTCTAGTTCGACTCGATTGCTCGAGCTTGTTTGAAAAGCTGGAGCATGACACAATTTTTTAGCTCAATTTATTAATTTGAAATTAAGAAATTCAATTTTTATAATTTTTATTTTTAAATAGAATTAATTTAAAAATATATAATATTAATTTAAATTAAATTTTAAATATATTTTAATTTAATTAACTTGCTCAACAAACTTTCGAGCACAGCCAAGCTAAGTTCGAGCTCGAGCTTATACTCGAGCTATTATATTAAATGAGCTATAAGCTCGAGTCGGCTCGCGAGATTGGCTCACTTACACCCCTAAGGGCATCTCCAACCGAAAATGTTATTTTTCACTCCAAAATGCAGGGAAATCAAAAAATGCCGTATTTCATCTCCAATCCAACGCCATTTTGCCGCTAAAATGGTCGTTTTCGTTCGCGCCTTTCTTCCCAAGCTGTTCGGTAGAGAGAAAAAAATGCCGCAGATGAACAGTGCGACGCCAATATTGGCGTCGCACTGTTCATTCGCGATCAAATGGCGTCAAAAATAGAGATCGGTTGGAGCAAAGCAAGAACGGCAAACAAGTGTTTGCCGTTCGGTTGGAGATGCCCTAAGTCCCTAACATTCACTGCCAACAACCATAATCAAGCTTTACCCTAAATTCATTTTACTTCAAAAAAAAAAAAATAAACCTCTTATATTTGCTTTGCAATTCTAAAGATTTCAAAAACAATATCTTTACATTATATTGTATTTCAATTTATTCTGCTTTTTTTTATTATTATTTTGGCCAAACAAATACCCCCTTAATGACCTTAATGAATTCCGAGACTCAACAAATTACATTGCACTAACTTTTCTTCCAACCAAACACCAAAAAAATAAATCCCCATTTACTCAATACTAATAATGCTTGCTACCAAATAACCCCTTCGAGACAATTTGGTTGTAAGTAGGGGTGCAAACGAGTCGAGTCGAGCTCGAGTCAGAGGGTGTTCGAGCCGAGCTCGATTGCCAAAATCCAAGCTCGAGCTTGAACTCGAGTCGATTTCAAAAGTTGAGCTCGAGCTCGTCGAGCTGCAATTCGAGCCTGTTAACGAGCCCCACGTCTACGTTGTCGTCCGCGTTCGTCAGCGGGCACGCATCTGCTTCGTCCGACTGCGCCATTTGCGCTTGCGTTTGCACCGTCTGCGGTCCGCATGCGTCGTCTGTGTTCATCTGCAGCAGCGTCTACCTTGCCGACAAATCTCTGACTGAAATGCTCCTCTTCCTCATCCCGCCTTCCCAAACAAGACGAAGTCGTCGATTCCACCAGCGGCACTTCATCGCGAATCTCACCCAAAGCCAGTCCCAATCTCACACGTTGGTCTTGAGCTCGAGCCCTACACTCCATATGCAAATTTTAAATCGTGTCCGAACTTGCCGGTCTCAAGCCTCGCGTTTGCATCTTCTTGCTTGCAATTGCCCCTTGTTTTCATTTTCCGGCAAGCAGAAGATCCGCGATTTCAATTTTCCCGCCACAATTACGCGACCTGTTAGCAGGGTGTTCGAACTCGAGCTCGAAATCGTGTTCGAGCTCGCCTCACGAGCTCGATAAGCTCGACTCGTGGAGCCTATTAACAAGTCAAGCCTGAGCCGGCATGAGAGCCAGCTTGACTCGGTTGCACCCCTAGTTGTAAGTATTAAGAGTATAATATATTTAATTTACCTACATTTTAAATTATCTTTAATTTAAAGCATAAAAATAAACATAAAAAAATATTTCAATGCATTTGTAAATGATTTACAAAGAGCAAAACAAACTCTTACACTTCTAAAATGCATGCAGTCCTTCCAACATACATGCATTTTGAAAATATCCAGCCTAACATCCCCTAAACAAAAATTTTAAATAAAACAAAGATATTTTATCAAAACATTAACTAACAAGCACCTTAATCTCCTTGTTGAATGTTCAGATAACATGCCCATTCATTACCGTTATACAGCTGAACACATAATTTCAGAAAACAAAACCTCTCTAACACTACTTCCCTCTGAAGGCTCAAAGAAAACCATATCAATCAACTCCAGCTAACCATTGTACAGCATGGTTTCCTCCACAAAAAAAAAGTAAAGAAACACAACAAAACCATCCAACTCCACCAGCAAATTTGCAAACTTGCAATGAGATTTGATATTTACCTGTTGGTACAATATCCAGCAAATCAGATAGAAGCAGCTTCAATCATATTGCAGACCAATTTCCTTCTGCTCATGAAACAAAATGCCAATTGCCAAAGGAATAACCAGTAAGTTTGGATTCAATCAAGTCAAAAATAGCTTTATTTCAGCTCTGCAACTCATGAAAGAGAACTATAACGGAGATGCTGCTCATAATAGCTTATCAGAAGCAATGGATTATTCAGCTTCAAATCCTTATCATCCACAAGAACTTCCTGTCCATCAGACCTCAATGCCTTAAAAAGTATGGAAACATGTTGAACATTATCAGTAACAGAAGCATGGAAACGAACAGGCTTCAGTATCTTGGTAATGGTATGTGGATTCGTGGAATCATCAAGCTTCTTCGCCTTGTTCCCGATCTCTTCCTCATTCTCGTTCGAATCTGCGTCTTCATTTCCCAGCTTTTCTACTCCGATAACAACATTATGAACTTCATCCTGATTATCCTGGACTAAATCCTGCTTGAACCTTCTCACAGAACCAGATTTCCTCTTCTTTGATCCAACAGGATGACAAAACTCAACCTTTGAGGATCCATCCTCCATGGATCCTTCTTCCTCCGCACCGAGGCCGTTAAGCTGGATTAAGATGCGCCCAGTCTCCTTATCGCTCTCTTTCTTCTTCTCATTAGTTTCATGAGATCCATTTGCTTCAGCTTCTTCAATTACCTGCTTCTCTTCTCCACGCTCATTCTCAATAGGAGGACAAGCCTCTTCGTTCCTAAGAGAACGCGGTTTCCTCTTTATAATCGTATTATTGAGTACACTGCTCTTCCTTCGTTTCTTCCGGCCTCGGGATTGTGACCTCTCCTCGAATACTTCGATGAAATCGGCGCAAGACTTGAGATTCTCGATTGGCTCCCATGTATTAGCAGTTTCCGGCCATCCGCGCCTTCAAAATTGGATTTTTTTTTGAACGATTTAGAATTAAAAATGAAAACCTAGAAAAAAGGGGATATAAGAAGGGGGGAAGAGTACCATTTGATGAGATATTGGACTTCGCCCTTTCGCATACGCTTCTTCCGAATGTCTTCGATCTCATAGAAGCCTTCTTCGAGCTTTGCAGACTCGCCTTCTCGGGTAGCTTCGTGGTGATGATCTTCATCTCCATCCCTATCATCGGCGATTTCTTCATCATCTACTTCTTCTTCTTCTTCTTCTTCAAAAGTTGCTTCTTCTTCCTCCAGAGTGGTTTCTTGTTCCGAAAAGACAACGGTGTTTTCGCCGACCGCCACTGGCGTCTCATCGCTGGGCGGCGGTGTCTCGGTTCTCTTGCGGCCTCCTTTCATTGCTTCGCAGGCGAAGGAAAGTAACAGTTGTGTGACGGTGTAATATTTACCCTTCAATGTCTTGTAAGTCAACCAAGCGTCGCTGACTATAAAAGAATTATCTTATTAAAAAGAATTATCTTATTAAAAAGAATGAAGAAGTATAAACTATTAATATTATCACTATAAACACATGCTAATTTATTAAATTTTGAAAAGAAGCCAAGATATAATTATCATCATTAATGTTACATGGCTTGACCTAAGTACTTGAATATCATTAAAAAAAAACATATATAAATGATATATATGAGCAATATGCAAAGTATGATGCATAATATGAGCAATAATATAAGATCTAAAAAATAAATTATCTAAGCTATCATGTCAAATAATTCTTTGAGTCAAAAAAAGGATCCAAGGTAATCATAAATTGTAGACCACTATGGGTACCTAAGTCTCCAATGTTAATGGAATATGATCTTATAATGAAAATATATATCCCTCAAAAAGGACATGAAGATCAGTAAGCTCGATAAAATATAACAAAACATTCATGATAAAAATGTATGAAAAATTATTAATAATTGAGAGTGGTTTATGACCAGCACAAATATTAACTAGTGCAGGTGACTCATTAGGGGATCGATTATGATTAGTTTAAGATCTAACCAAGTCTTCTATAGGATAGTTTGTATTGCATGCTTGTCATGAAAAAAATTTGATACTTTTGCTCTAATGTTTGAACATATCAGTATTTTCATTATCAAAATGAATGGAATTCATGACAAATAGCTAAAGTCTTTCTAAATAAATTTTAGATAGTCATAGGACTAATATAATACCAAACTTAAGCCTCATAACTTCCTAATTTAGAGGCACTAAAGATTAATTGGTGACAAACAATGAAGTATTGTAAATCTAGCTAATATGATATGGTGTTGGATGATGTTTAGTTATCATGTTAACTATAATGATGATCAGTGTAGACATAACATTCATATTGTTACCACTACTTATAATAAGCCTATATTTCTTAACATTATAATTGGCATAAATATGAAAGATGTCAGTTCTTCTATAATCATCATATAAAATTATCTACTTCCTTATAATGGTTAAGGAGGGTAGCATTAAGCTCAACATTCACATATGATGATTTATCCTTTACTACTTCTAAGTCAATCTCATGTACAACCATAAATTCTTTTAAGATAGCAATATGCACAACATCATGAATATGGTTGTAAAATCAACTAATTTGATTTGTTTTCTAAGAACAAAAGGTTGGTTAAGTACTCTAAGGTGTAAGTTTTGAATTTAGCTTATTAATTTTTCCACCGTGATTTCTACATGTGCCATATGATACATTAAGCCTTGTAGAAAAGATTTCCATGGATTTATAAATGAATGTTAAAATATCTTAAGATGCTTATACAAACATCATTATATAAAAAAAATGCAAGATAACAAGAAAAAATTCAAACGACAACAATTAAACTTGAGTGATGATGATAATGATAATGCAAAAAAGAAACTTGCTTGATCTTCAATTACTTCTGATCAATTCACCATTCATAATTAGTAGTAAGAGAGCTCTGAGACTCTAAGGATCCGAAGTACTACCCAAACACCGCAACTGGGCTACTTTTCAACCTCTAACGCTCATCGATTATACATTCTTACTTTCGTCACACTCCAACTTTAATACTTGGTCCATTGTCACTTGACAACGATCTTCGAATCATCGTCACCCAATTACACTCTTATAACAACCATCACAAAACTACGATCATTAAACCATCATCGCTCAACTTCATTCCTTCTAATCATCATTGCCCACTGGCTACAATCCTTTCAAACTCTATCACCCACCAATTATGATCCTTTTGAACTATGTTGCCCCAAACTATAGTCTTTCAACCTCCATCACATGATTACTTTAGCCCTCTAACCTTTGTCTCCCTTTGACTTCAATCATCAGACCACCATTGCTCCATTACATCCTTTAACCACTATCTTTTGATTACGATATTCTAACCACTTCCACCCACTTAAGATATTCGGAGCACCATTACCCTGCTATGGTCCTCATACTATCATTATCAAACTACAGTCCTTCCAACCTCTATCACATGTTGATTAATGATAGTCCTTCTAAATATCATTACTCGTTGACTATGGTCTTTCGACCGCCATCCGTCTATCGTCCTCGAACTACCATTGCCTAATTACGATCCTTCTAATCATTGTCATCCTTTTACTACAATCCTTTCGACCTTTGCTTTCATTGTCCGCAAACTACATCCCTTTTAATCACCCTTTTGGTACAATCCTTTCAATATCTACTTTCATTGTACGCAAACTACAATCTTCTAACTACCACTGCCCGACTACAATCATTTTAACCTCTATTGCACACCGACTTCCATTGCTCTTTGACTTCAGTCCTCATAGCACTATCACCACAATGATCCTCAAATCACAATTGTCTAACTATGATTCTTTGATTACCATCTCCTGATAATGGTTCTTAAATCACCATCACTCGAAGAAGATCCTCGGACCACTGTCACTTGATTACAACTTTCGACCGCTATCACCAACTATGATCCTCAGAACATCTGTCTCAAGTTGACTACAGTCATCCGTCACTAAAAACTATAATCATTCAAACTACTATTGTTTGACTATGGTTTTATGACTTCGGTCACCAACTATGATCCTCTAGCCATAATCTTTCGACTACGATCCACTTATAATCTTCTGATCATTATCACAAAGCTACTTTGACGCATATTAAGTTCATCACCTATCATCGCTGATAATGTTAACGCCCAACTTATAAGATAGATGTACGTCTTTGATATCAAATATAGCTCCTAACTTTAACAATTGAATTTATGCTGGATTCCAACTAAATGGCTATTCTAAATTCAATAATATAACATGTATTTTATCAATGCCTTCTCCCGAGGAAGTTCTTCACTTATAACTAAATAAAAATACTTGTGAAAACATTTTAATTGGGATAAAACTTGTGATTTTTTTCTTTCTTAGGTTTTTTAACTAAAAACTTTAGTGTCTTACAATTATTATACACATCTCTTTATCTCTATATGTGTTGGACCTTTGTGCAAAGCTAAGATATCAAATTTTGTATCTTTTATCATCTTGAATGTTCTGACATGCAATAGTTTTATTAATGAATTATATTAATTTTGATTAATATTTCTATTTAATAATTAAATTATATGATTAATGTACTTATTGCGTCCTGGAATATTCACGGTTGTGGAAAATTATAAAGTTTAGCGTCTTAGTATTGTACGAAGATCCAGCACGCATACAGATAAAAAAAGAGGGTACGACATTCACAAGAGACCAAATTTTTACTTGGAAAATCCTAAAAAGGGGAAAAATCACGGGGCCTAGCCCAATTTGAATGAATCCACTAGTATTTTGTAGTTGATTACAAAAGAGACCCTTCCTTAGGGGAAGACCTTGGCTTGATATAAATCATATGAAGTATATTACATGTTGTGAATACAAAGAGTCACTGTTGACATATTCGCTTGGCCGGAATGGCCATAGTTGGTCGGCGACGGATGTCGGAAGGACTGTAGTCGGCGGGCGATGCAAGTTAGAAAGACTGTAGTCGGCGGGCGATAGAGGTTGGAAGGACCGTAGGTTTCGGGCGACGTAAGTCGAAAGGATTGTAGTCAATGGATGACGTAAGTCGAAAGGACCGTAGTCGGCGGGCAACGGAGGTCGGAAATACTATAGTCGATGGGACATGTAAATCTGAATGACCATAATTAGCGAGCGACGTAAGTCGAAAGGACCATAGTTGGTGGGTGCCTTAAGTTGGAAGGACCATAATCGGTGGGCAACGGAGGTCATAAAGATCGTTGTCTGATAACAAAGGTCGGAAGGATGGTCTTTGGCGGGCAACGTAAGTCAGAATGACCGTAGTTGGTGGGCGACATAGATCAGAAGGACCATAGTCGGCGGTCAATGGAGGTCAGAAGGACTATAATTGATGAGCGACGTAGGTTTGAATGATCTTAGTCGATGGGCGACATAAGTTGGAAGGAGTGTAGTCGATGGGCAACGTAAATTATAAGGATTATAGTCGACAGGCGAAGAGGTCAAAAGGACTATAGTTGGTGGGAAACATAAGTCAGAAGGACCATAGCCGGCGGGCAACATAAGTCGAAAGGATCATAGTGGCTAGGTGCCTTAAGTCTGAAGGACCGTAGTCGGCGGGCAACAAAGGTCATAAAGACTGTTGTCTGACGACGGAGGTCAAAAGGATGACATCGGGTAGAAGTCCAACAATGGACAGAAGTCCAGCATCGGATAGAAGTTCGACGAATGTCTGGCGATGGGCAGAAGTCTAGGGTCAGGTAGAAGTCTGGTGACGAGCGGATGTCCGACGTCGGATAGAAGCACGGCGTCGGGTGGAAATCCAGCGACGAGTAGAGGTCCAACATCGGGTTTAAGTTCGATGTCACTCAGCGGCCGGGCAGAACTCTGGCGTCAGATGACATTCAGGTAGAACTTCGACGTTGGTAGGCTGCCGGGTGAAAATCCAGCAATGGTCGAGGAAGAGTCTGGTGACAAGAGAGCTCTCTTTCTTGTCTTCCTTGCTTCATTCTCTTCTCTTCTTCCTTGGACCTCCTCCCCCCCGTTCATAGTTACGAGATGTTCAGTTCGACTATAAGTTTGCTGAAATCGGAGTTCATATGACCCTAGATTTAATTTTTGACCTTTCCAACTTGATTTTGCTTCGAGATTCATGCCAGATTAAGATAATTTTTTTGAAGATATATCCGTACATATGTTGCACCGATACAGATACGACACGATACGGATACGAGGCACGTCAATTCTTAAAAATACAGGATACGGGTATGGCGTGGACACGACATTATAATTTATAAATCATTCACAAAAAATTAAGAAAGCAATCAAAGCATAATATTTGAAATAAAAAAAAAATGACAACAACATTATTTGTAGCCTTGTAGCTTAGAATATCAAAAGCAAAAACATAAATTATCTAGCACAT